GGGCCCAGCCAGAGAGCCAACAGTCAGAGGGTCACACAGCCTGGTTAAGCAAAACAAGGGCTGTTTGCCGAGGACCCTGTGAGGTCTTCCGGTTGCCTGGGATAGGGACTCAACCATGGATTAAGTCCTCCTCCTGGTGGCCAGGGGACTGGCAAGATGAGCCCCTCAGAGGCCAGGTCTTCCCCACAAGGGCCATAAGTGGGCAGTCACTAAGGCAAACAGTCTGCTTGTGGCGTGCTTTCCTGGGGCGAGGAGCTGTGCTCTTAGACGTGCTCACTCCTGCTCCTGGGCCAAAGGGCTTGGGAAAAGAAGGGCAGAGCTGGCCCAGACCCAGACCTTGGTCCCGTGCTAAGCAGGCACTGACCACCCAGGACCAGGGGCTTTGCCTGACCTGGTAGCTCTGGGGCTGGGGCTGGGGCTGGGCTTGGGCCAGACAACTCCCCCACCCCAGAGGTCAGGAGTACTCCTGGGTCTCAAGGTCCATCTAGGTTCCCTCCCTAGCCTGGCCCGCAAAGCCTGCCTGGCTGTGCCTGGGAACTCCACCCAGACTCTTCCCGGCTTTGCCAGGGAGCCTGGAAATTTCTGGTCAGCAGATTGGTCTGGGTTGATTTCCACACCCGCTCTGCGGCTCTGGGGGGGGGCAGGGAGGAGGAGCCAGTCTGCTCTGGCTGAACAGGCCCAGCATTCTTGAGGCTCTGCTTGGGGGGCACAGGGAGGGGGCTTCGCCAGGCCTAGGTGAGTCTTCAGAGAGAACAGTAACAAACATGACCCTGTGCAGATGGCTCAGCGCGCCAGGCCCCAGGCTGAGTCAGGACTTGCAGGGCCTTGCGGAATCTTCTAGCTCCCTGTTACTAACCCAACTCAGCCATGAGCAAGGGCTGCTCAGAGTGGGGAGGCCACACAGCCACAGAGCTGGGAGCTGAGCCTGGACCCGCCCTTGGGTTCAGCCCAGCAACTGGGAGTCAGGCAGGACTGGAAGCTGGTGGTGGTGAGGCAGGGGTGGGGCCCCCAACAGAGGACACAAAGTCAAGAGTGGCTCTGTCAGAAACTGCTGCAGGGGGCCCTGCTCCTAACTGGGGCCTCTGTCAGCATCTAGCAGCCCCCTCCTTGGGTACCCAGGTTACCTCTGGGGACCCCAAGGGGCTGGATTCTCTGCTGCTGGTCCAGTTGCGGGGTCTGCTGAAGCACTAATCCAGACACTTCTTGCCCACCTGTCCGCCCTGCCAGGCCCTGAGGCTGGGGCCTGGCAAAGGGCCCCTGTCAAATTCGCCCAGTGGCTTAGGTGCCCCTACTGTGCACACGCAGAGCTGTCACCCAGGCTCAACAGCACAATAGGGTAGGAGATGAATGGAGAGACCCAGACCCTGGCAAAGGAACCAAGAAGGGACGAGCCACCTGGGTAGGCAGGGAGGGCAGAGTTCCAGGCCCGGAGCTGAGTGACTCCCTGTGGCGCCTGCGCGGAGAAAGGCGCCTGGGGGCAGAGGACCCAAGAGCCGCCGGC